TGCTCCAGTAATTCTCCCTCATGCAATTCGGTCACAAGTGAGTGCTGCACACACCCCCACATGGCTCGGCCAATCATTATACAGCAAGCCCTTTCTTCCTCCATCAGGACATTGCCACAGGTAAAGACAAGATAATGCTTTATTGTTTCCCATGGAGAAATTTGTCTTGTGACAAGGGGTCAAATGCTTTACCACAAAGAAAAGACAACACGGCAACATAAACCCAAAAAAGGTACAGTTGTGCCAGTTTGAAAATAATCATAAATCGCTTTGGTTTATTTACCAAATATATTCTGAATAAATCACAAGGCATATACTAGTCCAAAAGTTAAATAATTTTTGTCACTCCTTTCATAAAATCAAATCTATATATTATATAGAGTCATTACACATAAAGTGAAGCTTTCAAGCCTTTATTTCTTGAAATTTTGATGATTATGGCTTACAGCTAACGAAAACCCCAAAGTCAGTGTGGCCATAGCAGCATGTCAAAGCCTGATCTCGTCAGATCACAGAAGCTAGGCAAGGCTGGGCCTGGGTAGCACCTGGATGGGAGACCGCTGGGATGCCAGGTGCCACAATGGGGTGCCAGTGGCAAAAGCTGTTGTTGTGTCCTTAGGAAAGACTCTGCACCCACATTGTCTAGTAAGAAAGTGATGTGTGCATCAATGTTGGTGGTGGTTGGAGGGGCTGATGGTGCAGATTGGCAGCCTCGCTTCCATCTTACAAATTCTAAATTTTCCGAAAACAATGTATTGACATGTTTCATAGGCTTCACTTTTGTTTTTCATGCTTTTTTGAGTCCCCACTCCCTTTGCTCTCCATGTTAAGTTACTCCCCCTTAAGAGCACTACCACATTACAATGTGCATCTTGCCAATGAAACTACTGCACATTGCATCAGGTGTGAAGTGTACCGTTTTGTATTATGCTTTTGTATATTTCTGAAGAGTTGTCATGTGGGAGCATGGGTGATGCAGACTTGTGGCTGAGCATTGGACAGAGGATTACAACTAACCGTAAGGAGGGTTCGAATAGGGCCCGGGAGAGATCACTAAATTGTTCAAACATGCATGGATGAAACTCAAACCTCTTGAAGCATGTTTTTGATGAGGTAACAGTGTTAAGACAAATATATGTTAGAAAGCGCCAAAAAGTTCATTTTAAAGAAGACGCCTCCAATACAGTCATTGTTGACATTTTCATGTGGTTAACTATTTATTATCAGCTTCATTTGTCTAATCGTGTCACAGAGTGATTTGCTATGCACTCATTACATCTCAGCTCTTCTCCAAGCTGGCTTTCTTAGCTACTATTTAAACCTACTTGTGTAGAAGCATAATAGTCAGGCTTGAATAGCCAATACTTCCATGCTGTGTTGTTTAGACTACAATACTACAGACTGTATATTACTACATAGTACTACATACATTTATTTATGTTCAAAGCATACAAAAATAAAATTAAAACTTTTTGTGTTTTCAAATGTGCTTATCTCCTGGCTGGTCATGTAGTACTTACTGTGAACATTGGGGGGTCTTTGCTGTGTGGGTGAAAGCCTTTCTGTCTGCATGTCGAGATCTCCTGTGTACCTTGCTCTGTCAGCCTGAAGTAGCCAATCCTCCAAAGCAAAAGGATAAAGGTTAATTAGAAAAAAATGTCACTATCCACTAGGCCTGTCACGATAATTACTGTATTGGCTTAATGTTCAATATATGAAAGCTGGAAAAATATGTTTTGGGGGTCAATATCTATCATGTGTACATTTTCTTTGCTGTAATGGATTTTTTTCTTTTGGCTGTATAAGATTCAAGCCACAAAAGGTTGAATTAATAATTTCTATGACTCATTACAGTTGGTAACTAAGAACATTCTGCTATTTATTGCATCCCATGATTTAAAAAAAAATACAATGTAGATTTAGAATAGTTTTGTTGTTTAAATCTACTCTTGTGGCCATATCGGCTTGTCAAAGCACATCAGATCTCAGAAGCTAAGCAAGGCCGGGTCTGGATGGGAGACCACTGAGAAAATCAGATACCACAGTGGGGCATTAGTCGCAAATTGTGTCCTTAGGCAAGGCACTTCACCCATATTGCCTAGTGTGATGGCGATGGCGCAGATTGGCAGCTGCACTTCCGTCAGTCTGCTACAACAGTATCTTACCACCACCACTGGGTACTGAGTGAATGAATAATGATCTGTTCCGGATGCCTCCTGGGTGCCTCCCTCGGGAGGTGTTCCGGGCATGTCCCACTGGAAGGAGGCCCCGGGGAAGACCCAGGACACGCTGGAGGGACTATGTCTCTGGGCTGTCCTGGGAACACCTCGGGGCCCCCCCGGAGGAGCTGGAGGACGTGTCTGGGGTGAAGGAAGTCTAGGAGTCCCTGCTTGGACTGCTGCCCCAATGACCCGGCCCCGGATAAGCGGAAGAAAATGGATGGAATAAAAACCTTTTTACTTACTTACTTACTCCTGGGTTACTCTGTCAGTGGCAAAAATTAGTTTCAATATTATCATTTATTGTCTATATTTACTTTGTCAATATATCACGCTTCAAAATGTATTATCCTGATAGGCCTACTGTCCACATGTATTTATATTTGTGGCCATACAGGCTTGTCAAAGCCTGATTCCATCAGATCTCAAAAGCTAAGCAAGGCAGGGCCTGGTAAATACTTGGAAGGTAGACCACAGGGAAAATCATGTGCCACACGGGGGCACCAGTGGCAAAACTGTCGTTGTGTCCTTAGGCAAGACACTTCACCCACATTGCCTAGTATGAAAGTGGAGTGTGCGTGTGAGTGTTGGTGGTGGTCGAAAAGACCGATGGCGCAGATAGGCAGCCTTGCTTCAGTCAGTCTGTCCCAGGGTAACTGTGGCTACAATAGTAGCTTACCTCCACCGAGTGTGGATCGAATGAACAATGAACTGTAAAAGTGCTTTGGGTATCTTGAAACGCGTTATATAAATGCAATGATTAATTAATAGTAATCAATTAATAAAGCATATTTACAATGGTCCATGTATGAGTCATAACATGTAAAAAAGAAAGCAACTAGCCAATCATCAGCTTTGGGATTTTTATGAGGGGGTCCACTGTCAGTCCTCTAAAAGGTTTGGTGAGGAGTTCAGACTATGGAGGAATAAATTAAAACGACATCTGAATTGGTCCTGATAATAAAAATAAGAAATAGTTATTGATCAGTACAATAAAAATATTGCCAGCCCTACTCAGAACGGCTGTGTTCATAATCTCATATGTTTTCATTTAGGAAAAATTACTACACAAAATAAAAAAAGGGGGGGGGGCAACATCACATGGTTAATTCAACCTTGTGCATGCCTCTTTTAAGAGAGCCAAGTGTGCAAAAAAGAGGCCCAAATGGCCCTCATTTACCGGTTTGTGTGTATATTTTTGCATATGGCAGAAGGTGCAACCAAAAGCCCCAAAACGCTTCAAGTGGCCTCACCCCCAGGATTTACGACATAAAGGTGTGAAATACGGCAAAATGCTGCATTTATCTGAAGATGAAATCATTAAGAATTATATAATTAGCAGAAATATGTTGTTGGGCTCATTGTAAAATGCAGAAAATGTATAATTTGCAGAAAACAAATCATAACCCCGAAAATATTCAGACTGTGCAGCCTCAGCCTTTTGTCAGAACCCACGCACGGAGATGGCACAGTAGGACCGAACTCCCAGGCATGCCCAGACCGGACAGACAGAGCTGTGGTGAGTGCTTCCATGTCTGTGCTGCTGTTGCCTCTGCTCTGGGCTGGTGTGCAATGAGTTGCATCCAAAGTTATGCTGCTGTCGGTTTATTTATTTTTGTATTATTTAAAGCAATGAGCTCATGATAACTTGGGAACTGTGTTTTAAAGTTTTAAAAGTGCAGCCTATAACAATATTATAATATAATATTATATATGTGTATATTTAGTGTATGTACAGTCTCTTTGCAATAATGGGAAGATTTCTAACAGTTGAATACAGTACTGCCTTTCAAGACACCCAAAGCACTTTACAGTGCATTATTCATTCAACCCACCCTCAGTGATGGTAAGACTCTATTGTAGCCAAAGCTGCCCTGAGGCAGACTGATGGAAGCAAGGCTGCCGATCTGGGCCACTGGCCCCTTCCACCACCAACACTCACACACAGAACATTAATTCTAGGCAAAGTGGGTGAAGTCCTTGCCTACGGACACTGACGCCCCACTGTGGTACCTGGTATTCCCAGCAGTCTCCTAACCAGGCCCTGTCTTGCTTAACTTCTGAGATCTTACAGATCAGTCTTTGACAAACCGGTATGGCCACAATTTCTACCAGTTTTATGTAATAAAGTAAGAGCTGTAGAGTGTAGAATAAATAACTTCTTTCTATTTGTTCATTCTGCTATTGGGTCATTTCACGCCAAATCCGAATGCCCCCGCCTGACCATATCAGATTTGACTGAAAAAAATTCTAGGAGGTTCACACACATTCCAATAGAAAAAGTCCCAAATTTTAGCTTCTAACTCCTTATAATTTTGTCATTAAAAAATATTTTGTCAACTCTGCCCTAACCTGTTTTGAGCAGAGTTTTCTGAGGGGCCACTTTCAGATTGCTGTATCTAAAAAACTATTTAAGGTTGGTCCTTCAAATTTTTAACGGTTAAAATTTGTCAGATGTACTTGTAGAATATGGACTTTTACACATGTGCTTTTGATTTATCACAGATTTTAGGGGGTTTGAATTTGCTCAAAATTTTACTCTTCAAATATGAGGGCATCTTTGAAGGACTGTGGAAAGTACAATTTTAAAGACAGAGGTTTGATATTGAACATACAACTTCCCACACATGCTGAGCCTCTGTGATAAATGCTCTAGAACAGGGGTCTCAAACTCAAATTACCTGGGGGCCACATTAGATAAAGTCTGAGTGAGGCTGGGCCGCATTGAGTATTCGATAAATAGCGGTTGCACGGGAAAAAAAAGAGAGAGAAAGAACAACATGCAACACACTTTCTTAATCTTTAATAACAGTTCAGAACATGAAAATGTATTCAGAACGTAAGTTTAAACTAATACGTCTACTCTTCTTCTTTTGCCTACTCCTTGCTGGTTGAAACCTGGCTACGATTCATCTTGTACAGCTGAGAGATATTTGGCTTGCAGGAGGAAGCAGATCCTCAGGATAGACTGAAGATGCTCATCAGTGAGCCTTGACCTGTATAGGTGCTTTCACACCAACAGTATTTGGTGCGCACCAAACGATCCATTCGAACCAGAAGTGGTTAGTTCGGTTCCTTTGCGTTGGTGTGAAAGCGTCAATCGGACTTGGACCCGGACCAACTCAAGTGGACCGAGACCTCAAAAAGAGGTGGTCTCGGTTCGCTTGAATCCGCACCCAAATGACCAACTTTGGTGCGGTTCCTCTGGTGTGAACGCGAACCCGGGTCCAAACCATAGACAGCAGGTCCAAACGAACTATTCTAGATGCATCATGGGAGAAACGCGTCTCCTGCCTGTAATGACACGCTGTACGACTCCAGCGCAGTAACAGATTGTTGTCCAGACGCAGCCGCGATTCATTTTCGAATTATTTTACCAACAATGGCCAATACAGAGAATGTAACACACGAAGATCAGAGCAAGTATGTGCGAACGTGTGGTTCCAGAGTGAGTCAAAATTGGGGGTGTGTACTTCTGTTCAGGACCTGCACGCACAGAGAGATCCCGGTGTTCCCCGTGATCATGTAGGAACCAGCATTTGTTATTTTAGGCTTTAATTAACCAAATAATTTTATGGCAATAGGCAATCGCCCATTCAGTTGATTCACCTTTAAAAAATGTCCTGCTTTTAGCCTAGTGTGAGAAATACAGTCGGACTAGATCCAAACCGGAGTCCTGAACCAGCAGGAGCAGCTCCGGTTCTGTCCAGGCTCAGATGACGTGGAGCGGGGAGCGAAAAGCGCTTTTCCCGGGAAGAACCAAATGCGGACACCAACTAAACTGGATTCACACTTCTGTCCAGATGCTTTGCTCCACCTCGGAACCAGCCGCGGTTCTTGAGCGCGGAGGACAGGAGCAGCACAGACCTGTAGGTAGTCCACAGCGCATTTTCGCTTTCCCCGCACGGAACACGGAACCAGCGCGCAGACGGCGGAACGTACCCGTTCAGACCCAGTCATTGCGCACTGGTCTTGCTCGCCACCATCTGGAACCAGCACATGGAGGACAGAGCCTCCGGACCATCTGACCAACGCGCTTGTAGGACGACAGAAGACCAAGGACCAGACCCCAGGGCCGTCCTGAGGAGCTGCGCGCTACTGTGAGCGCTGTCGGCTGCTGCTGTTTCCCGAACTCAGGACTGATGCGGTGAGTTTGTACAAAGTTCTACATGTTGCTGTTTTATGAGTTCATGGTGATAAGATGAGGACGGCCCGCGGTATTAACAGGGAACATCAGTATTGGTTACTGGAGATATCGCTGTTCTACCGGGATATAGAGGCTCGTTAATCGGACCAGTTTTTGGTTCGTTTGCCGGTGTGAATGCGGACCACACTGGAGTGTATCTGCTTCTCGTATGTCAAACATGGATGGAAGACGCTTGTTTTTGCCTAGTACTTTTTGCTAACATGTCGCCAAGCCTCTGGAATAGATCACTGCAGTTTTGTGGTGCTTGCATATTGATGGGACAGCTGTGTTTGCCGCTGAGTGCGCGTGGATTTCGGCGACGCACAGGTGGAGCTTGGTCATCGGGTTGCCAGCAAGTTACGCACAGAGTGTTGAGCAGGTAAACAGACTGTCAGTGTCTTTTTATTTCTTATTAGCCTCTCCAATAAAGGTCCCATACTTATGAACAGGGGAATTCTGTCAGCGCCTCCTCTGCACTCTGATACTGTGGCTGTGGGAGCGTAAAGTGAAGTGTGCACACGTGTACCACCATGTGTGGTTTGTTTTGGTTCTTCGGCGATGCCGTATGTGCACGTGTACTTGTATTAACAGATCCACTTAAACTTGTTGCTTCACAACTGCTGTAAATTGAGTTTTGGGATGTAAACTGCGTTAATAATCTGTTGTGAATCTGTATGGGCACCGATTGCAGCTTCATCTGTCAGTGCGGCCCGCGGTAGGGGGGTGGGATTGTGCATACATCTACCGCGGGCCGCACTGACATTATTCTTTGGAATCAAGTGGAGGGCCGCAAAAAATCCTTCCGCAGGCCGCAGTTGGCCCCCGGGCCGCGAGTCTGAGACCCCTGCTCTAGAAGATCTTAAGTGTTAAAAATGGAAAAAATAAATTTGGTGCCATCTTTACCATGTTATACCAAAAAAATGTCAGCACCCACCAACATAAAATGGACTGTTTTAGAAAGACTAGATGTCTGTTTTTAACATATCCAAAATTTGTGATGGTGTTCTTACACTTGTGGCTCAGGGCTTCCATAGATTAGGGCTGGGTACCTTTACAACACATCATTTCTAAAATAGATGTTTCTAGCACTACAACAGGATGCTTATTTACAATTCAGGAGTGTTACACCAAAACATCTGAAAGTTTCAAAGAGTTGAGATAATTTACAGTAGTTGAGTAATCAAATCAAGCATTTTTAAAAATTTAAGATGTGTGTTAAATATTCAGAGTGTTTTCTTGACTTCTGAAAGTGCTTTCATAGTCCATGAATGCTCTGCGTGTATGCGGACACCATATTTTCAAAAATTCATTTTGCAAAAATAAGGCAGAACACCATCACAAATTTTGGATATGTTAAAAAAAATGGGTGCTGTCATTTTTTTGGTATAACACGGTAAAGATGGCACCAAATTAATTTTTTCCATTTTTAACACTTAATGTCTTGTAGAGCGTGCATCACAGAGGCTCAATTTTAAAATAAAAGGTGTATGTTCAATATCAAACCTCTGTCTTTAACATTGCACTTTCCACAGTCCTTCAAAGATGCCCTCATATTTGAAGAGTAGAATTTTCGAGCAAATTCAAGCCCCCAGAAATCTGTGATAAACCAAAAGCACATGTGTAAAAGTCCATATTCTACAAGTACATTTGTCAAATTTTAACCCTTGAAAATTTTGAAGGACCGACCTTAAATAGTTTTTTAGATACAACAATCTCAAAGTGGCTCCTTGGTCAACTCTGCTCAAAACGGGTCAGGGCAGAGTTGACAAAATATTTTTTAATGACAGGAGTTGGGAGCTAAAATTTGGGACTTTTCCTACTGGAAAGCGTGTGAACCTTCTAGGGCAGGGGCATTCGGAGATTTGGTGTGGAATTACCCTATTTATTTGTGTGTCAGGCCATTTTACTGGTTAGATTTACTGCGATTATCCAGCTTTTTCCAGTCTCAAAAAGTAGTTTCATATTACCATACCATACCAACTTTGTTGATAAAGCACTTTAAAAACTTCTAAACTTCTGTACACAAACAGAATAGACAAGGACAATCGCAGCACAACACAGTACACAATACAACTACTAAAAAACATTAAAAAAAACCAAAAACAATATGATAACAAGAAATGTACATCTCACTTCACCAGTGAAAAAAGGTTGGTTTTTAGGAGTGATTTAAAAATAGGTACAGACTCTGCCTGTGCATCCAACAGAGGATGCACGGTCCCAACGAAAAGGTGTTATTATTGATGCAATAAAATCTAAATAAATTTCAAACAGGACTCTATTATGACTTCACTTACTCATTGAATTTAGGTGAGCAGACAATGGCGATGGCCTCGGGCAGCATCATCTGGTAGGAACAGTGCGTGTGCAGGTCCACGCTGGACAGGAAGGCCGTTTGAGTGGGGTGGGTCTGAAAACACAGACATATATCATCTTTGGTTCATCACATAATTGTGTCTACTTAGGTTGTAGTCCTTCAGTGCTTTAGTTGATTAATCGGTCAATGGTGTTGTAGTCAACCAAAATTTGTATTAGCTATTAATGTACTAATAATTTTATTTACCATAGATCATAAAAGTGGAGCTGTTAAGGACCAAAATAGTTCGCTTTTATGGTACAAGCATGAAATTTTGCCACATTACTAACACCCCCAGGACTAATATTTCTAGATATAGAACCAAGCCTAAGTCGACCCTGGAGCCGAGAACTGTGCATGTCACAAAATGGACTGTATGAAAATGAGGCTGACATAAAAAACACTGCATAATCCCTTTTTTACAATCTAATTTGCTTAGTTATCCATTTTGTAATGTTGAACAACAATTTTTCAGAAGCTCCAAAGCATTAAGGAGGTCATGTGACCATTTTCCTTAAGGCTGTAAGGGTTGTGTGGGCTCCCTGTGGTTGAAATCCAAGTTAATACAATATTTTATCTTTCAAAGCCATATTTATTGGGTTTTTGATAACAAAAACAATTTAAACAATTTAAAGTACCTCATCATGTTTCACAATGGTAATTAAATGCTGCATGGATGTGAGGCATAACCCTAAAAAACAGAGATTTTCCTTAAATCGTTAAACTTATTCAAAGTGCAGCTGCTGCCACATTGGCATGAATCTGTACATGCCAAATTTGTCTTTGCACAAATGCATCACCCAGCACAGGCTTCTGCATCCACACTTGATAAGTTCATAGCACGTTCTTTGCCTGGTGGAGCTTGGTCTACAACTGTAACTAGTGACTGTCATCACGCTTTCATCCCCAATCTGCAGGGCTGGGTGGTGTCTTAAAATACAAAATTCTTAATGATGCATTATAACATTTCTGTTTGGGGGTCCACAACCTGCTTCTTTTATGATGTCACATCTTTGGCTGGAATCTGTCACTGTATGACATTAAACATATCAGTCTTGTGTTTATTCAGTTAAGGACTGAAAATGTGTTTATTGCTCAAATACCTAAAATGCAGACATTCTTACATTTAGTGGGTCTATTGCTTGTGGGACGCCAGTCATTGTGTCCTTAGGCAAAGCACTTCACCCACTTTGCCTAGTATGAAAGTGGTGTGTGTGTGAGTGATGGTGGTGGTCACAGGGACCGATGGCACCAATTGGCAGTCGCGCTTCTGTCAGTTTGCTCCAGGGCAGCTGTGGCTACAGTAGTAGCTTACCACCGGGTTTGGAGTGAATGAATAATGCTGAATAATGATCTGCAAAGTGTCTTTGTGACATATGTCTGTGAAAAGCACTATATACATAAAAATACTTACTTACTTGTCACTAGGGAGATGGATAAGTTTAAAGTCATACTGTGAAAGCAAAGCAATAATATCTCCATGGACACAAGCACCTTAACTTCCACTGGAAATGTTATATTGTGCACCTAAAGACGTTAAATTGCGTTGTCCATTTACATAGCCTGTATCTCTCACATTATGGGGGGGGAATGGGTTTATATCTTTATTACAATCCTTATCATCATTCCATTTTCTCGTTCCAGATCGAGAGATCGCAATGAAAATACGACAAAACCTGGTCTAATCTTGTCTTAATTTGGTCATAATCCCAAATCACCATCTCCACAGTTTCACTGGTGTTCTCAGTCTGGTGTGGGATTACTGAAACGAGCTGTCCACCTCTGCTCTAGTCATTATTGTTATTATGATACTGTGATGGGTTGGGAGGGATTTTTGGGCATACATTTGTTAGTAGTATTAAAGATGTACTATGTAACTTTTCTGCTGGGAGCGAAAATGGCAGTGTTATATTGTTCCTCAGTATGTCATTAAACTTGTCTATCTCCACGGAGACAAGAAAGTGGCGCAACCAGGCCATGTTTACAGGTCAGATATATGGAGAGGTGGTTATATAGGTGTTATATATATATATATATATATATATATATATATATATATATATATATATATATATATATATATATATATATATATATATATATATATATATATGTTATATAAATAGGTTTAATGCCTTACTGATAAATATTTCAGGCAAAGCAATGAAATCTCCATAGTAACAAGCAGGTGTAGCATCTATAACAAGACTGCATTAAAGAAACTTAAGTCAGCTTCAGGTTTTATCTACAAAGTCTTACATAAAATGCTAGTCACTACAGTGTAGTTAGTAGTTTTTTATGGGTATACTTAATACTTTTATTCAAGCACAAGTAGTACTTGTCAATGAGTAGATGTTTTGCTGTGTAACTGTACTTGTACTGTACTCACAGAAGAGCTGATTTAACCATTGAATATACAGGCTAAAGAAAGATTAGAGGGGAGAGAGAAATGAAGATAGAAAATCAAACCTACACAAAACTATTTTCATGAAGTTTTACTTTTGCCTTGAAGTGGGATTAAACACCTAAACCACAAACACATTTCAAATAGCGCTGATAAATTGAATGGTACCTGGAGGACTAAAGGACAGAGGGGCGGGGCTAGGGGGTATAAGGAACAGCGTAACTGGTCTAACAGGCATCCACACTACAAACTCCACTCCTACAGCCAGGGATTTGTAAACAGAAAAAACTGGCTGTAATCAGGGCAGTTCTACGTGATGTCACATAGTACTTGATATCACAGAAACACTAGAGTTCACACACTCTCATTTTTACACATTGCTGCTCAGATTCTTTTGCTAATTTACCTAGTTTGCTCTAAAATTACCAAACAAGCACTAGAAACAGTAAATGACACTATTAAAGTAGTAAATGACACTGTGTAACTTTTTGATTCAGGGTCTTTGGAGATGTCATTGCTCTGCCTGGAATGTTCTACAGTGTGACATTAAACAGCTCTACCTTACATTTATTCAATTACAAGTGGTTTTATAGTTCAAAAATACCTAGAAAAACAGACATAATGACTGTGAGCGGGGTCGCCTCTCCACAGATCTGACCTGTAAGTTGTTTAGTCTCCATGAAGATAGAAAAGTTTAATGCCACACTGTGAAACAATCCAGACAAAGCAATAACATCTCCATGGAGACCAGAAAAGTTACATGATGCACCTTTAAAAAAAACATCATTAGTTTAGTAGCTTTTTTTGTTGTTGTTATTTAATGTTTACTTTTACTTTAAAAACAGCATTGAAAGTAGCTAGTATCTTGATACATATTCTTCTTTATAACCTATATGATAATTTAACATTATTTTCCAAAAAAGAAGGTTTAAGCAGTAATTGAGCTCCCAGCCTTGTTTCCATGTCGGCCATTTTGTGACATTCGCGGTACTCGGCTCCAGAGTCGACTTGGGCTTGGCTCCATATCCAGAAATGTTGGTCCTAGGGCTGTTAATAATCTGGCAAAGTTTCATGCTTGTACCATAAAAATGAACAATTGGGCACTATTTTGGTCCTTAACAGCTCCACTATAAGGATTTATATGAAACAACAACAGAAAGGAGAAGTGAGTGAGCTGAAGATTTGGCATTTTTGGTAATTCCAGTGGCGGCTGGTGGTATAATTTTTTGGGGAGCATCAAGCCCAAAATTATAAATATATATTATGAATAATATATGTATTATATATAAGGTATATAGTATCATAACAAATGCCAGAAATAGTCATTTTGGTCACTATTGGCTGAACTATATCAGAGCACAACGCACAACCTGATCCACTGCTCACACCCAGCCCCAACAACACAACGTAACACACAACCAGCCACAATAATGTCAGAAAACCTACAATAAGATAAGAGGCTAACGGTCACATGAACACGGATGCCGTTCCTACAGCACACGGCAGAACACCGGCAGCTCCATCGCACCCACGAGCTCATTTACGCACTATTTACCTGTGACGCTCCATCTTCAGATTTATCCAAAGCTAATGAAAACAACTCTTATCTTCTCCAGGGGACTGATGTGAGTGTATCCTCTGTCTGCTGTCCTACTGGTTCTGTCTCCAAAAGTGTATTGTCCAATATGATGAGATGAAACTGGTCCAAATCCTGGTCCACTCAGGTCCGTGACGCGAGGTCCAGAAGCCGAGTACGGGAGCGGGTTGTAAAACTAGTCTTAATCTCACTTCCCACTTAGAGCTGAAAGTTAACACCTGTCCATGTTAGCACTAGGGCACCAGGTGGACTTGAGCCCTTTGCACACTAGGCTCAGGTGAAACTTTTACGCCCAAAAACGCGCTGGCAGAGCAACGAGCGACTTCCCCGACTCCGGCAGCGACTTCCCCGACTCCGGCAGCGACTTCCCCGACTCCGGCAGCGACTTCCCCGACTCCGGCAGCGACTTCCCCGACTCCGGCAGCGACTTCCCCGACTCCGGCAGCGACTGTTTGGCCCCCTCAGCGGCAGTGATAGCCCCAGGTCCCGCCGGCAAGTCTCTGTGTCTCTGCTCCATAGCTCCTTTGGATCTCTCATCGCGGTTTCCAGTGTGGAGGTTTAGGCGAAAGTAGCTGTCCGCCATTAGTCATGAAACTGCTAATGTTAATTTCCCTACATGAAGCGAGTTGTCGCAGCAGGTTAACGTGACATGAGTGACAGAATAATTGTCCAATCACACTACACTAAATAAACAGGGACTGTGATCTCACTGGTCTGGGCGCTAAAGTTTGTGCCCTTAACCCGAAGTGAAATGCGCCAATCAAAATCTTTTATTGGTGAAAATATTGCGAAAATGTTACAAATCCTCATAGACACTGGTTTTGTCGGTGTGCCATTTAGGGGGAGGGCTTTCTGTCTTTCTAACGAATGGAAATCTCATGTTAACATGATTTTGGGAGGGACAATTGGCAGCTGACACAACACATGATCAGAGTTTTGAATTTTTAGGTTTATTTCAGGAGCAAACCGTATGATTTCTTGTTATTGTTATTATGTTGATTGAGATTTTCATCTCTCCAAATTTCAGGGAGGGTGGCACCCCTTGCGCCCTTAATAAACGAGCACCGCTGGGTAAAATGGCAGATTAAACTCATATAAATACATATATACATATAAATACATTGCTTCTTAGTACTTTTTTCTGCATAAAACAGAAGCAGGTGTAGTTTTATGAGTGCAGTTTGGGTCAGATACATAGTGATGCATAACGATTTTGAAAGCTTTTGTAACACCCACTTTTTAGTTGCCTAATCAGCAGCACATTGTTTCTGGATTAAGACTCCATCACACACATAAGTATGAGGTGTGTAACACGGCATGTTTTACTGGTCATACTGGGACTTACTAACCTCGAGCACACTTGCATGCATCTGGGCCAATGTAGCCATGAGCACAAAAATAGTGCACATTGTGTTATAATGTACAGGAAGAGCCAGATAAGCTCCTATTCCCTAAGGAGACTGCCACCTTTTGGAGTAAGGGGGCCACTTCTGAGCCTCATGTACGGTGTGGACTGCTTGAGCAGCAGCACAGAGAGGGATAGGAACAAACTGGACATCAACAATTCCAGTTCTGTCCTTGGCTGTCCTCTGCACTCAGTGCAGGAGGTGGGGGGCAGGAGGGTCCTGGGCTGTCCTCTGGAGAGCAGCTTCAGTGACATGCTGATCCTGCACACTGTGTGAAGGAGAAGTTCTGCTGGTTTGTGTTATTGAACTTTACTCTGCAACACTGGAATGTCTTATTTGTTGTAAATACTAAGTCCATTGTTTCCGTTCTGAACAAGACTTACTAAGATGCACAGTATTCTGCCATACGGTATTACGGGCACTGTGATCATATAGTATAATCATAAAGGTAAATTCATACTCACATGTATCCAGCCTAGAGTAATGAGGTCATACTGATCCTGTATGAGGAAGAGTTCCTCCTCATTCTCTGTGTCACAGTAGTCAGGGCCTCCACATTGCTTTGGAACAATCACATGGGTCACTGTGAAGGCATTTCTTGTCTGCAACACATACACATACATGAAAAATTATTTTAATATATCAAATATTGTTTGTAGAAGGATGGTCTGGACTGGGGGTAACTGTATCCAAATGACCAGCATGCATTAAGTTAAAGCATGTGGATCAGCCTGACAACTCTCTCTATTATGTATTATTAGAGCTGCAATGATTCATCAACTAAATATGACAAACTATATAAACTAATTAAAATAATTAGCCAATATGTGCACTCTAAAATGCAAATGAAAATTCATTTTAAAACAAAGTCACAGGCATTACTATATCAAAATGAGAGATGTTCACCAATAACACACTACTGTAAATATTCTCTATCTAGAAGCCTTCAGTCATCACTCGAGCAATCTTTTGACTAGTTGACCAATTGAAAAATGTATCCCTGACTAATAGACTACTAAAACAATTGTTAGTTGCAGCCCTATTTATTATTATTTAAAAAGGAACCAAAAATTTAGCTATTTGATGCATTATACCAGAGTTAGCTTTAGACTAATTTCCGTCAACTCACATACATTCATATGGAAGTTAAATATATAGTGTATTCTGCAATTACCAATTTGCCACAAAGAATGCCACATGTTTCCACTGCTCGGATGGTATTGGCCTCTGCCAACTGCAGAAACCTCTGGCACAGCTCTGAGGGTATAAACAGCTGGCGCAGGGCATCTACCATTGTATCTACAAACAGAAAAGTACAGTAACAATTAGTCCAGTCCAAACGAGGGCAAATGGCTTGAACAGCAAGGCACTCACTGCTGCCGCTGTGGCTGAGAGAGCCAGGCTTCAGCGAGCGGTCAAAAGCAGGAGGGACGGGTGTGGGGGAGCTGACAGCTGAATGCTGGTGCTGTGGGTTTGTGATGCTGGCTTGAGCGCTGGGACCCAGTGCTGGGGGGCCCATGATACCAGGAAGAAGTGGTGTGTCTGGGCCAGGGGTCACAGGAGTCACAGGAGTCACAGGTGTGGCAAACTCCAACAGGACTTTGTGGCGCTCTTTCTCCAGGTCCTGGCGGCGGATCATCTCTTCAAAGGCACTGAACTGCTCCTGCTCTCTCTGTCTGCGCAGCATCTCAGCCACGCGCACCCGCTCCGCGTCCAGTGCCTGCTGCCTCGACTGCTCCTGGGCCAGAGCCTCCTCCTCCGCTTTCTGACACATTCAAGACACATATGATTACGCTATAAGAAAAATGCATGACCAACATATTAAGGAGGGATCTAGAAATTAATAAAATAATTAAGCACAAGGACTGGTAATGGAAGCTTCAGGAGGTATTATAAACTGCGGCCGTGTTCCAAGTAGGAAGTAAGCATGGGCGCGCTTCAGTCTTCATCGACTCTGGCTCCAATTGACATAACGTCAAAAAAAAAAAACGGAAAAATTGTCACCCCTCTCTCTGTGTTTTTATTTTGCTATTTTGTCTGTAGATGTTTGTAAAATCCCTCAGTCATCCAGTTAGGAGAAATTCAATATATCAACTGGACAAAGATTTTTTTTGATCAAATATGTTTTGCAGCTCATCCAAGCTGCTTCTTCAGTTCTGGTCACATTACTGGTGGACACTGCCCTACTACATTGAAACTACCTTGAAAGTAACACACCTATTTGTTTATAGTTTCTGTTTGTTAGCTAGGTCTATTGAACTGCACTAAGTGGCCTGAGGCATAGAGCATAGTATAATCCTCCAGGTCCCTGATAGATGGTTTCACACCTCTGAGCTTGACCAGGCTAAGACTATTGTTTTCTTTGTTTTGATATAGGTCTAAGGCTGGAGTTGTAAATGGGAGAAAGATGACGTCTGAGACTCTCCAGAGGCCTCCATTTCTATTCAAAGATTGATCCTCTAATTGATCGAATTGATCCTCTCTTTCCTAACAAAAATAGCCTCTTTAACTCCCCTCTCTAGCCAATTATTTTCTCTGGCTAAGAGCTGTCCTCTAATGACTGAATTGAGATGGAGGTGTACAGTGGACTGAGGTCCACTGCTGCTTTCTCTTCTGTGTTGGTCCTCTTATGAAGTGGCTGTTTTGTTTCTCCAAACGCAACACTCACTGCAGTCCTCTCTACACTGAATGGAGTAGGCTAGTGATGGGCTAAACGAGTTGACGCATCAACACATGTCAAGTGTCGCTGTGTTTATCACTTTAAGAAAAGTCGCATGCCCAATGCATCTAGTGTGTCATTTGGTGTTGCTTGTGTCGGGAGTGCAGAGAACACTAGAAGAACACAACCAAAATATGCAGAGTATGTGTGTTAAACGTACTTGAATGAAACAAAACACAACTCCAGGTAAGGAAAAAACTATGTAATATGATACCTTTAAGTACTGGTGAATTCTTAAAACAATTGCCTGTTTGAATTTCAGTTAACTGTGATTACCTTTTTTAGTAGATAATTTGAATATTCTAGTTCAAATCTTTTCAAAAGTGCTTTTTTCAGGATCTCTGCTTGGGGAAATGCTATATCCTTCAGTTTCTGCAGAATAAGAGAACATTAATAATTACTTTGACCCTGTTTATTATTTCAAATTTTCTATATAATATACATATAAAATATATAATCACCTTGAGTGTATCCTTCTTCTCTGGAATGTTGGCAGTTTTGTACTCCCGATGCTTGGGAAGTTTCTCAATGAACAATCTGTGATGTGAAAGAAATATGTTCATATCAATTAGTATAGAATAATTTACTGGTAACAGAGGGTCTTTTCATGATACAGATGGACTAGTTCTGAATGCAGATCTTTGTTCAATTCCATAATTCCTATGAGGAATTAGCATAGTATTACTATAATAATTCAATATTTAAACACTGCACAGAAAACAAAGAGTTACGATTAGAAAGTCACTGACAATATTATGAACTAGAAAAGCACTCAGAGAGCGCAGACCTCCGCCAAGGACTACAGTCCCCCTCATATTAATTGTGTTTTCCATAAATATTTGTCTCGTATCTTTCAATTTGGAATATGAAAGAGGATCCGATTGTCCATCCCTGAGTCAAATTTCATGGGGTTTGGTCAATAATTAACCGAGATATTGAGAAACAAAATTTTTGGCCCCATTTACCACAATGTTAACTAAAATTTCAAAGTGATCCAGAATCCAGGATTTCTTCCGGATCACCCCCAAAATGAAATCAGTTCTTCCTTTTCACATTTCCAACAAATCCTGAAAATTTCATCAAAATCGGTCCATAACTTTTTGAGTTATGTTGCTAACAGAAAAACAAACAAACAAACAAACAGACAAACGCCGGCAAAAACATAACCTCCTTGGCGGAGGTAATGATATACATGAGCCTTTATAAAGGAATTGTTACTGTCTTGAAGCTAAGGCTCATGTAAATAAAATGAGAAAGGTACATAACTTCATTCAATTTGTATTCAGATTACTTCAGATTGTGGAACTATTTTAACAATAATAGTTCAATTAAATGCAGGTTAGCATTAGCTTTGAGACAAAAAAAAAAGCTTACTTTATAAACAGATAAGTGTATTCCAATGAAGCATTAAGAGTATCCATTATAAACTATTGATTTATAATAAGAAATACTAGGCTAATTCGAAAAAAGAAATACAGTGGGGCAGTCAGAAAAGGGCCACACTCTTAAGTCAAAAATGGCCATGGTGACAAGGTCCTCTTGTAATGCTGATATAAACACAATTTTAAAGACTTCAGACAGTAGAAGACATAGATGTTCATTTAATTTATACAATCAGAAAAAAAAATAGCTTTCAAGTCTCTGAAACCATCTGCGTGTATATGAGTAGTGCTCACCTCCTACAGTTAGATAATGTCATAATTTCAGATGGAGCGCAGGGGACATTATCTCTATAAGTCTACGGAGAATTTGGAGTTTTATAAATAAATCCACAAATGTAGAATCTTCTCACAAACTGTGTTACGTGAAGACAACTTAGTGGAGAAGACGAGTGACCTTGATTCTGGATAATAACTGGCAGTGTTTAGAGGTGCTCTTACGTGATATATTTGTTGTAGAGGATGAAGGCATGCTCGATGTTGCCCTCTTCTGTATACACATGGGCCATGCGGATTAGCTCCATGCCGGAACGGAAGTATCGCCGAGGAGGAACATCATCACTGACTTCCACAGAGCTGCCTTTTTTAGTTAGAGCCCGAACACGCTCCTCTGGAGTCAGGCTTACATCTGAGGGGTCTCCCATCTCCAGCTGATCCACCTGGGGCATAATAAAACAACTCAAAGGTGTGGCCATGCCGGCTTGTCAAAGCCTAATCTCATCTGATCACAGAAGCTAAGCAAGGCTGGGCCTGTTTAGTTGATGTTAGACAACTGCGAAAATCAGGTGCCTCAGTGTAGCACCAGTGGCAAAAAACTGTTGTTGTGTCCTTAGGCAAGGCACATCTCCCACTTAGCCTACTGTGAAGTTGGTGTGAGCATGCACGTTGGTGGTTGGTGGTGCAAGACTGGCAGTCTCATTTCTGTCAGTCTGCCTAAACACTAAAGAGACTCTTGTGAACTTTAAGTCATTTTATAATGCTGTTACCGATGTGTTTAATTTCATTCACACTTGTTTAAGTAACCCTATTATTGTCTGCATTTCCAAAGCTCAAAATGCTGTTCCACCTCGTGGTGTTATGCAGCGGTAGTTTACAAGTTAACAGCTACCTTTTGCCTTTAGTTCAAAAGAGATTGGAAATTCCATGGCTGAAATCATCCAAATAATTTTAGTGAATGTAAATGGTGTTGAAAAACACAGTGGAGCACCTCTTGTATAACTGTTTTCTGTTTGAGAGAACTCAAGAATGTGTGAATGAAACAAAACACCACTCCAGGTATGCTTGTGATGAGGAAATATTATAACATAGATCAGAAAATAGCATAGTATGGCCCTTTAAAGTATCACAACCTGGAACACCATAGGGATGGAAATATTAGCGTTACTTATTGTTAGAAAGTCACAATGATATACACACAGTGAAAAATTCACTTTTATACAATCTAATAAAGAACCATCCCTCTATTCTGAGACTGAACACATGTTTGTTCATTTTACAAATAAGAACACATTAACTTAACTAGTTAGTTGTTTTTACAATACTTAAGATTAGCATTTATTATTGTGTCATCTTTTTTCATAACGGTTACCACTGTAATTGATACTTTGCAGTGGTAAAAATATGAGAAAAAAATACAAAATAGATCTAAACAACATATTTTCAGGAGTCTGTGATCACTACGAGCATTGATGATCCCATTCAGGTCTTTCAACAACAACAAAAAAGTAACTGTTGGCTAATGCCAGCTGGCCTGTGACTGTAATTTTATACTTGAGAGACAAATCACCTGTTGTAGTTTAAGACAAATCAGTTCTTTCTGGTCAGATAGTGTTGAAGAAAAATTGCCTGACGAAGGTCTAGTGCCGAAACATTGCACGGTTTGTCCTAATAAAACTCACAATTTGCAAGTAAGACGGTGTGCGGGATTTTTCTCCATGTTCTTGAGCTGCTTCCTCTCCTCCAACGCACCCATCTCAAGTCTAACAAAGCTTCAGACAAAGCAGTACCTACAGTAGCATTAGTAGCGAATGTTGATGACATGAGTAACAAAGTATCAGTAGTGGATTGGCGTTTGGACTAGACATCTCTATTGACAAGGGACAGTCCCAGTTTTGAGCTCTGTATCCCACGTCCTAGCAGATTTATCCAAAATCAGTGATGTGTTGCAGTTTTATACAAATAATGTTCCAGGTTTCCCTATTTTTGATCAATTTGATAGCTGCTGACATGAAAAAGAGGCAAAAATGTGCTGAGCCAAAATATAGAAAAACAGGCTAATAACCTCAGTTGCAGTGATTGCAGTGATATACTGACTGAGTGGGGAATAACTCATGAATGGACAGAGCACATCACAATTTTTCTCATTTTACACATTCTTTTCACAGATTCCCCAGATGTCCCAGATTTGATTTTTGAAAATCTGGTCACCCTGCTTCTGCACTTCCACTGTAGTCCAGTAACATAATAACTTCAATCAACTTATCATTTTGTTCAAAATGCATTACTGGGTCTTTCTTTTCATTTTGTATGAACGGTAGTTGAAGTGCATTTTAGACTCATTAAGTCTAGCAAGTGAAGTTGTTATGCTGACAAACACGGGGATACTAGTACATGCAACTAGTTACTCAAAAACGTCAATATAACATTTTATAACAGTTAAATACGCACTATGTAACTTTTCTTTACCTAGTGTCACCTGTTTGTGTCCATGGAGATGTTATAATTTTGCCATTAAATATTCGGTAACACATGCATTAATTCCTCACAACATATTGAAAACATGCCATCTTATTGTGACTGGGCTCACCTCTACACATATCTGTACAATATACTGGTGGAGTTATCAGCTTCACTCAATGGAGACAGAAAAGTTTAATGCAATAGTGTGGAACATTCCAGGCATATCAATGTAATCTCCATGGAAACAAGTCGCGGACATTCTTCAGTCTCCAGCAGAATAGCTGCATAAAGCACCTTTAAGGGACCTTTTCTATTTGTAGGACTTGTGGCAACTTTAGATGTTCTAAAAGTTCAGCATCCAACAATATAAATGTAACGTAAAAAGTGATTACATTAAAATGGGAGCAGCGCTTTACCCGCGATTATCTTTAGGTCAACGGTGCATGATTCTCCCTGCTAACGTAGCTAATTCAGACTCTCTGCCTTTAGGGTCTTGTTTTAGAACCTCTATAGACAATATTCTGTAATTGTATACTAGCGGCAGTCCTTACCGGGGAAAGATTTACTCTAGACTTTCAGTTGACGTTCAAATAACTACTTGAAAATACGCCCAAATTGTGCTCCATGATCGGTTTACATGGTTTACTTCCGCAATCAACACACTTCCCTTTGAGCCAGTGCGCCTGCGTGCATTTAGAACGGAAGAAGCTCGCCTTATTCTGAAACCGTGAAGGAAACCGAGAGAGCCCGGGCCACAACTCGCATCGAATACATTAGTATATTTGCAGTTATTTAACCAAATTAGTTATTTCCACTTGTGACTATAGTAGTCTATCATGTAGCGTTCAAGAATACGTCGTCACAGCTAGATGTGGCCGCACATACACATTTTGAACAAAAAACAAACTTTAAAAACACCTATTTTGATCTCAATATAAGTATAAGTCATTCTGAAAATCCATAAGGTTAAAAAGACTGCCAAATAAAACTACAGTTTGGACTTACCCCAAAAAATCTTATTGAAAACAGAGTGCAACAGCCTTGTCCATTCTGACGAGACGAGAGAAAGGGGGAGACAATAGGAATTTATTCATGGACAACATAATAAAAACCCCAGGATCATGCAGAGCTGGTTAACACGAACATTTTAACGCATAATAATAATAATAATAATAATAATAATAATAATAATAATAATAATAATAATGCCCAGGGAATAAACCTCATACGTTCCTGTCGGAGCCGGTCATGAACGCCTCATTACGTTACGTGGCGCTATAGCCTCCACGTCAGACTGACGCTCCGCTCTTGGCCATGGCGTTTTGAATGAGACACGGTTCGGACAGCTGATCCTCCGCCGCTCTGTCTGTGTTCCGTCGTGCTCCCAGTACCACGAGCTCATATATGTCCGTGCTCTCTCCATCTCATCACGGGCCGAGCCAAAGAGGAGCCCCACAAACAGCCGCCGTTGACCGGGGCATCTCCGGGTAAGCTAACTGGAGCTAAGAGCTAATGCAGAGGGAACGCTAGTAGGTGTCAGACTGGTGCATTATCAGTGAGCTACTGTTGGAATGGCTTTGGCTGATCATCGCTAAGTGGCACGGATACATCCTCTGTCCCTGTGAAGCAGCTCCAGGATGAGGCGCACATGAGGGCAGAAATTACAAGATGCCTCCGGCTGTGGTGATGGTGCTGTCACCTGGTTGTAATGGTCCAGTAGTGCTGCATGTGTTTGCATTAACATTTATGACTCCGCGGTAATGGGTCAAATTTGGTGTAATTAAAATAAAATCCATCTTCAGGCAACATAGACCAATTGAGCTTCTGCTGCCACCTTTTTTTTTTTTTTTTTTTTTTTTTTTTTTTTTAAATCTCTTAATGTTGTAATGTTGTGTCCTTAGGCAAGGCACTTCGCCCACGGTGTTTAGTATGAAAGTGGTGTGTGAGTGATGGTGGTGGGCGGAGGAGCCGATGGCGCAGATTGGCAACCTCGCTTCCGTCAGTCTGCCCCAGGGCAGCTGTGGCAACAATAGTAGCTTACCGCCACTAGGTATGGAGTGAATGAATAATGATCTGTGAAGTGTCTTTGAGAGTCCAGAAAAGCGCTATATAAAAGTGATGCATTATTATTATTATTAGGCCCGAGCACCAGAGGCTGGCGAAGGGCCTATTGCTTTCGCTACGAGGAGCGAATGGGGAGTGACGAGCGCTTGGCTGAATGCAAGAGGACGACATACAACTTTGTCCTTGGTCGCTCCCGGCATGAACAGTAGTATCCCAGTAAACCACGCCCAAGGCCTGGGCCATATTTATCGCTGCTAAAATGAATGGAAGTCAATGAGAGGTCAGGGGCGACCCTGACGAGATGGTGAATGGCGAGAGTGTCGGTGCCCGTCACTCACCAATGACCCCACGGTGATGTGGGGAAGGTCGAGAGCTTTCAAAAAACATATATTATGCTGTACTAATGTTAACGGATATATTGTTTTTGCTAAAATATTATTAGGCCCGAGCGCCAGAGGCTGGCGAAGGGCCTATTAGTATCGCAATGCGATGCTCCGAGTGGCCCGTAGTGACCAGCAGGGACCCTCGCCATAATGTAGCAATGCGCCTGAGGTTTCCGAAAATTATAGTTTGTCTGCCAAAAAAAGCAGAACATTGTTACATATGTTACAACATAGTATTAGGCCAACAAAACAACAAATATGTTAGAACAAAAATGTATATTGTGACCATGCCCCTTTACAAACCGAAAGTCCACCATCTTGGATTTTTTTCTTTTTTTTTTTTTTGCTAAATTTTTTAAATTGCAGGGTTAGATTAGGTTGGGGCTATTGTTAGGATTACAATTAGGGTAAGGTTTAGGGTTATTAGGGTCAGTGTGAGGCGCAGTGTTTTGAGCGTTTGCAGGGCGCCTGTTTGTGGCGTGCAGCGTTTGGGGGGGCACGGCCTTTGCGGGGCGCGGCATTGGTGCGCACGAGAGCTGATGATTGCTGCTTGCGGTTATATTATTAATAGTTACTATTTTAAAGCACTGAAAGTTCTGTTCTCCCTTAGGATATTATCATCATCACTCTCCTGACTGTCTTTATTTCAAAAAGGTAAAAGATGCAGATCTACTTTTATTCAATGTGCGTCCCCAGTGCCAAAACTCAACAACGACCAGTGCAAGGACGGAACCGTGCCAGCGTGCCAGTATGCGAGCCTCTTATATTTGATCTGGTGCGCATTGTTTATAATGAGTGCGTATACATGCACATCAGTATTCCGGTTACTATCGGGTTTGAGTATCTTGGTTTTGTCAAGGTGCATGTATACACACTATCCTGGTTACCGCAATGTAAAGTTGAGTGCGAATGTGTCCAAAAGACAAATACTTCTCAGTCTTTTCATTACAACAGTAGCCAACATGAATAAAGTGACCATAAATGAGTGAAATGACTGTGCTAAACCTGCACACGAATCTGCACTTGTATGATCGCTGAAAAGTTAAACATGAAATATCTCCTACGATATATGCACAGAACAGACTCACCATCATCACCATCCCTCTGTCACAGAAAAAAACACATATATTCCTCTGAAGGGTGAAGTATAGTTCTGCGTCAACTGAACGCGCACTGCCGCTGTCGCCTTGTCGCCATTGTTTTTGATTTATGGATCTGCTTCGAGGTCTATGCACCGTGAAGTAATTCACTGCCAAAACACTAGGGGGCGACGATATCTGTCTATTCATATATACGGTCTGTGTGTATGACTCGCAGACATATAATCTCTGAAAACTTTAACATGAACCATCTCTAACGGGATAAAAGAACAGACTCACCATTAGTGCAATATCCCTCTGTCACAGAAAGAACATGCATATTCCACTGAGTCATGTCCTTTTTAAGTCCGAGAGAAGCTGACCGCGTACCAGGAGCAAGCTGTTTTATGAGCACTTTGTTTATACAAGTTAGCCATGCAATTTTAAGTTTTGTTTCTGTAAAATGTAAACACATATGTGCAAAGCTGCATTAAACACATTATTTCTCAATATATACTGAAAGAAAGAAAAGCCGACAGGAAATGTCTGTAGTGCGGTGGTACAGAGGACCAATCACAGCTCTTATCGTCTGTGTCGCTTCCCCTGCTGTCTGCTTTGTTTTGATGCGTAGTTAGAAAATTTCGGAGGTGCACGTCGGTCGACGCAGAGGCTCTGCGTAGGGGGTATGCGTCGACGCAGACAATTTGACGCTGGACCGTAAATCGGCCTTGAGTCGTGTCCTTTAGTCCGACAGAAGCTGAACCACATCAGCGGCACAAGGAGAGAGTTATTTTTATCAGCAAAATTAGCCATGCAGTTTTAAGTTTAGTTTCTGTAAAACGTAAACAAATATGGCAAAGTTGAATTATATTATCAAACGGGCTGATGTGGTTTATATGTTGTAAAGGTGAGTTTATTTATGTGTGTGTAACTTGTACAATGTTTAGAAACGGGTTTGATCTGTGCAGTGGATCATAGCTCCTCACCACTGGTTAGAGTCTCCCGAGCTTCCTCTGCTAAAGGAGCTCAATACTATATTTGATCATGTACAGAGATATGAGTATCCCGGTTTCGCAGCGTGCATGTATACGCAGTATCCCAAATACTGCCATAACCGAGATATGGCTAACAAACGGAATACTGATGTACATGTATACTATGCACTCAATGAGAACGTACGTGCACCCGCACACCACTCACGTGCACACCTTAACAGAAATGACATGTAATACGTAAATGCATTTTTTACACAACAGCAGAGAAACTTACTTTTGATTTCAGTGGGAACAGTGTTGTTGGTGTCCCTTTTACCCCAGTGCATCAAAGTCTGGAGTTAGTTTTGTTGTGACGATTCTCAGGATGCGTTCACGTCGTGTCAGAATGATCGAAAAAATGACTTTTCCACTGGGAAACTTCACATGTCGGAAAACAACTCCAACCACATGAATGCAACATAATATGCCCCAACTCAACAAAGGTCAATGCATCTAGAGTGCGCTATCTACTGGGAAACGGCAGAAATGCAGGAAAAATAAAATATTAACAAGGTTTATTATTATATATATAATAATATATATATTATAATTTATTCAAGTTAAGCGGGCCAGATTAAAAGGCTTAAAGGGCCGCAGTTTGCCCACCTCTGATTTAGACCATCTAATTATGGGGAGTGGCATGACATTACAGTGTACACTCAAATGTCTCTGTCATTGACCATGCAGAATCTATAATTACAACTTTGGTCCCTTAGGTCACCCTTGGGCAGGTACGAGCCAGTGGGGCCTTTTCACAGGTATAGGAACAAGCAACTCTGTGCACTTTAAGGTAGTGTATATATTTGATTTTGAGAATTGCAAATATATTTTTTATGATTATGCAAAATTTGTTACTTGGAAATAATTCAAATGATATTTACATATATAGATAGATACATATGAAAAGATACATGTTTATTTAAAAAAAAAAAAACATTTCTGTAATGGCCCAATATGTAACTTCTCTAATGGAGGGTAGATTTTATTTCTTTGCTGGGAGTATGTGTCACAGTATGGCATTAAACATGTCTATATTGCATTTAATTACAGATGTGTTTATGTTGCTTACTGTGAATGGGGTTTGCCTCCCCACAAATCTGATTTGTAACTTGGCATTGAGGTACAACGTGCTTGTCTTAATGTCTCTAAGTTTAATGCCATACTGTGGAATGTCCCAAGCATTCTAAGTATTCTTATTCTTGTTATTGTTATTTTTCTTCTCATTATTATTATTATACATTTTATTTATATAGCGTTTTTCAGGACATCCAAAGACACTTAACAGAAGATCAGCCAGTCAATAGAGCAAGTAATGCAAATAATAATAATACAGGAAAGATTAAAACAGTGAATCATGTAGAGAAACGTTAAACACAAAAGCTAGCACTAGTTGCTCTAACCCTGAAAATTACACTTCAACCTCTTTTGAACCTATTTCTATCTACTGTAAATAAGTTTGTGTCCAGATGGGTTACATTCACTATACGTATAGTTACATGACCTAGACTTTAAAATGATCATGCACCTGCTGCAACAAGTTCACATTGTACTTTCATTGTTATCATGATTCAAATCAGATAACTACAAAAGCCATACTTTAAACTATACCACAATAAACTAGACTACTCCGAATGTGACGTTATATTAGTGGAAGGTGTTAAACATTGACTGTGACTATGAGTAACTGTATTGAGGTCTGTACAGGCACGTGTGAGCGGTCTGAACACAGCTACGGGAGTAAATCTGACACTGCGATGCAGGTGCCAGGGCTCTCATTTATAAAGCATGCACACAATGTAAAGTTTTTGAACATATGCATGAAAGTGACATGTCACTTTCCACATTAAATTTCTGATCTACAAAAGATGACTGAATATATGGTCCTAAAAATTTGAACTTTGTACAGTCAGAGATGAGAAAGAAAGAGCACTGCACTCGCAGAGGAGAAGTGTTCATACACATGTTTGGTAAGAATTCCACCTACATTTTTCTAAATGAGACCCCACGGCTCCTTTGGGCACTAAGGACCCTACACCAGTGTTAATTTTGTCCACTCACAGACCTTATCAAAACCACTGTTGCACCTTTGGGAGAGGCCTATGAAGCAATTATCAGCATTTGAAAGAACACACAAGTCTACTTATTGTGGGCTTGGATGATTTGAAAAAACAAACTAAAAAAAAAGTTAAGTATCAGTTAAATATCGGTTAAATATCTGTTCTTATTTCTTCCTCCAAAGATCATTGGTGATAAGAAATTACTAAATCTTAATTTTAAAATTTCGTTAAATACTTTCTTGTGTACATTGTGCAGATGAAAAGAGTTTAATAAATGACAGTGTAGCAGCTATTGTTAAATGAAACCTGTTCAACTCAGAGCTATTCCCTAAAGACAAGCGCTGTGCGCTGTTTGACGATGGACTTCCACAGTTGCATTCCTCTGTTGGGCTTGTCACTGCATTCTTATGAAAGACACCATGTGCCTATATCACAACATTAATATGGACTCTTGATTACAGTCACTTTGTAATCAATAATATTATGTCCCATATGAATGTAATTTGTTAAAATCAACTTCTTTGAGCTTTTAACTATGTGTCCCTCTTTCAGAAATCCTATATTGTCTGCATTTGAAGTTTGAGTTTTCTTCTACTCTCAGTATCAAAATGATATCTCTGTATTTCTTATACAGAGAGATATTAATGTGGTCCCCGTGCCCTCAGTCATTTAAACCAGAACCAAACATGATCTTGTATAATCATCAGTTTTTTAGAGTTTTTTTCTGTGACGCATGTGAAACAAAGGAGCTAATTGGTCACCCATCATTTCAAACACAATGACATTTCTCTCCCCTCAGATTAACAGAGTGTGATTCTATAGAAATCCACCATATTTTTAATTCCTCTGTGCTTTTTTTTCTTTCATTTTTCCCCGTAAGCAGTCATACACTTCCCTGATTGGCTAATCCACCTCACTCATGGCCATTTCAACACTGGGAGATTCACCAGTGAAATTCACCAGATTTGCATCTTCGTTAAATATTGCAGAAGTGTGTATTCTGGATCCCAAGCAATCATATCTCCATCTAATGCTCTGTACCTACATGCAATTATTCAAAAAAATCTAATTTAGAACCACAAACACAGGATTAAAAAATGTGCCATAGACATCTTTCTAAAATAAAAACAAGCCAGTTAAAGGTCCTATATTATGCTAATGACTGTTGTCAACTTTAATCCACTTTTATAATGTTGTTACCTCATCAAAAACATCCCCGGAGTTATGTTTTGTTTTATTCACACTTTTGAGAGAGGGGCAACAATATTCCAATGTAAGTCAATGGGAACTTTCTATTTGAAACATGGTAGCTAGCACGTTACCACTTAGGGTGCTTTCACACCAAGAGGGGTTGGTGCACCAACCAAAAGCTCTTACTTTGGTTTGTTTTCGTTGGTGTGAAAGCATCAATCGCACATGGATCCACACTAAATCAAACAGACCGAGACCTCAAAAAAGAGGTGGTCTTGGTGCTGAAACTGATGCTCTATACGCCTTTGGCAACTCCAGTGCAATAACAGATTGTTGTCCAAACGCAGCCGCGACTCATTTCCGAATTATATATTTTGCCAGCAATGGCCAATACAGAGAATGTAATACACAAAGATCAGACCAAGTACCAATGTGCGAACGTGTGGCTCCAGAGTGAGTCAAAATTGAGGGTGTGTAGCTATGTTTGAACACTGAGGCCTGCACGCACAGAAAGGTCCCAGTGTTCTCCATGTGCACGTATCAACCATTTTGTAATTTTCAACTATTAATTAACCAAATAAATTTATGGCAGTAGGCAATAGCCTATTCAATTGTTTCAACTTCAAAAATGCCCTGCTTTTAGCCTAGTGTGAGAAATGCTACAGTCGGACTAGATCCAAACTAGACTCCTGAAACAGCAGGGAGCAGCTCCAGTTCAGGCCGGGCTCAGATGAGCTAGATCGGGAAGTGATGTTAGGTGCCTTGGCCTGAGAAGCACTTTCCCTGGGAAAAACCAAGTGCATGGAGGATGGATGGCTCAGAACAACATATAACGTACCAAATTGGATTTGGGATTCTGACCGGATGCTTTGCACCACCTCCACAGCTACAGTCCTCGAACACGGAGGACAGAAACAGTCCACCCAGACCTGTAGTCCACAGTGCATTCTTCAAACTCAAGAATATTAGTGAACTGGAGGCCTTTGCCCTTGAGGAATGGGCTAAGATTTTGATTGCAACTGTATGTTTGTGATAAGGAAAAAGATATTATAACAGATCATGTATGGGCTCTTTGAAATACCACTGCCACTTCTGGAGCTTTGAGCACTTGTCACATATGGTTGCATAATAGAAGAAAATTCTAATGTTAGTCAACTGGACAAAAATTTTAGAGTGAAGACTTTTGGCTCCTCTTCCCTCAGACTGATAAGTTATGTGACCAAAACTGAAGAAGCTGCTTGGATGAGCGACCAAACGTCTTCACTCTAAAGCTTGTGTCCAGTGACAGAATTAAATTTTCTTTTGTTATGAAACCTACTTGAACACTGACATATGACAATGGTCCCATTTTAGATCAATATTGTAGTTTCCATCCATCCATTTTCTTCTGCTTATCTGGGGCCGGGTCGCGGGGGCAGCAGTCTAAGCAGGGACTCCCAGACTTCCTTCATCCCAAACACGTCCTCCAGCTCCTCCGGGGGGGATCCCAAGGCATTCCCAGGCCAGCCGAAAGACATAGTCCCTCCAGTGTGTCCGGGGTCTTCCCCGGGGCCTCCTTCTGGTGGGACATGCCGGGAACACCTCCTGAAGGAGGCGCCCAGGAGGCATCCGGAACAGATGCTTGAGCCACCACAGCTGGCTCCTCTCAATGTGGAGGAGCAGCGGCTCTACTCCGAGCTCCTCCCATGTGACTGAACTCCTCACCCTATCTCTAAGTGCCCAGCCACCCTGCGAAGGAAACTCATTTCGAGCTCTTGTATCCGCGATCTCGTCCTTTCGGTCATTACCCAGAGCTCATGACCATAGGTGAGAGTAGGAACGAAGACTGACCGATAAATCGAGAGCTTCGCCTTTCAGCTCAGCTCCCTCTTCACCACAACAGTTCGAAACAGCGACTGCATCACTGCAGACACTGCACTGATCCACCTGTCAATCTCACGTTACGTCCTCCCCTCACTCATGAACAAGACCCCGAGATGCTTGAACTCCTCCACTTGAGGCAAGGATTTTCCACCCACCCAGAAAGGGCAAGCCACCTTTTTCTGGTTGAGAACCATGGCCTCGATATGATTCCAATAAAATGGAAGTTGCCGCTGCCGCTAGCCGATATAATTGCCGATATATTTACTGATGTAAAAATTCACCGCAAATCTTGAATTGTTTAAACCCTCATGCTCTCCTATCAGACCCAAATACATTTTTGGGTCTGATTCACCCACCCCAAGAGAGCTGGAAGGAAAAAAAAATTTAAATTAAGAAGTAGCGTATAGCGCACTTTTATTGGAAATGTATATGAAAGAGTCGTACATTTGTTGTGCAAACAGCATTTCTTTCAGAGGGGTACCTTGAGCCTTCAAGGTATTAAGTGAAGGCTCAAGAAAAAAATACTGAATTAATTTTTGTACTACTAATATATTTTTTCAATATTTTATATTCAGCGAGTAATAAACACTAATACTAAACTATATAAACTTTTACTGATATTTTTTGGGAAACAAAGGGTTAATAAAATGGAATGGAAATGGACCAATCACAGTTTTTCTTCCAGTGGTATCTGGGTAAATCAGTGACTCCCTCTGCAGCACTGAACTAAAGAAACACCTGCAGGACCAATCATATTTCACTGAGTTAAGGGCAGGATCATATCACATCTCTAATTGGACGCCTCAGGGGCTTCTGGAAGAAGAAGAACGAGAAAGACCCGGGAACTGGAGCCCGCGGCCCGGTCGGAGCTAGGAGCCCGCGGAAGCGGGCTGGACCAGCATGCGGCTGAAGCCGGAGCCCGCAGCCGGGCCATGTTGGAAAAAAAAATAGCTGTTTTGGCTGTTGTTGGGGGAAAAAAGCCCAAGTGGTGTGCCTTTTTTTGCTTGCTGCTCAGGGCTTCTGAAATATTATTTTGTTCCGGTGCCAGTACTTTGGCTTTAAAGGTGTACTGTGTAATTTTTCTGGTAGAGGGTCCGCCAACTGCATGCCTCCATGGAGATATTACTGTTTTGCCTTGATTATTCCACACTATGGAAGTAAACTTGGTAATTACATTGAAGATAGGTTAATGGTCAGTAAACCATGGTAAGAAACATGTTTTTAAGGTATTTTTGAGCTATAAAACACATGTAATCACAAGGGAGATATGTTTAATGCCCTACTGTGGAACATTCCAGGCAGAGAAATAACATCTTCATGGAGACAAGCTAGTAGCAGACCCTCCAATTAGAAGTTTCACAGTGCACCTGTTCATATCTACAGTGTATCTATCTACTGATACTTGCTATCAGTGCAGATACTGAAAACAGAATATATTTCCTTTAAACATGCAGAATATATTTAAGTTTAAAATGGCATATGGTAAAAATTATCCAGAAGTGTTAATTTAAAGTCATTACAGAACAGCTCTGTAGAAATTGTTTAATATTATGATGTGTTTTGGGCCAGCATTGGCCCAAATTACCCCAATTATTACTCTAAAATGGGATATCAGCCAAATCGAAAATTATGTCCAAACCACCATTTTCAATATCAGTGCTAATATACTGTACAGATATTGTATTGGTGCATCCCTACTCTGCATATGCCAGGCAATTGGATCTAGGTAGTTGCAAAAAAAAAAAAAAAAATCTATTTCTTTCGTTCCTTTCCTATTTGAAATGTTCACTGTGCCTGTGCAGGTGAACGCTGTGTCCAGGGCAGAGGCCATGCTGATATGTTCCTGTGGCAGTGGGCACAGTGCTGCCCTCTGGTGGACCGTGGTTGTAGTGCTGTTGGGGGAGCTTCATGCAGACACTTCACAAACACAGGTGCTCCAGGACCTGCTCACTCGCTATGGGGACAACAGCACCATCTCAGTCCCTCAGCTGCGTGCCCTGCTGGCCCTCCTAAGCCGAGGCCTCGAGCAGGATTCCAGCCCGGCCACACGGGCACCGTCCAACAGCTCCAGGGTAAGGGCTCATTCGTGTGCGCAAACATGTCCTATCTCTAAGTACAGACAGACATAGACTACATAATAGTTTTCAGAACATTTCTGGAAGTTGCTTGTTGTATTCATTATAAATGTAGAAAATGTTCTCATACTACTGTCTTCTAATATGTATCCTCGACATTCCAAGCAATTACCAGATGTTCTTCAGGCATTGTTTCTTTATTGTTAGATTTTTTTGATGCCCACTTTTGCTCTTGAAGAGTGTCTGATACCTGTACACTCTACACCATCCAGATCCAGAGACAAGCTCAACACTAAAAAAAAGACTTAAGTTCATATCACCTGATTTATCATAGTTTTATTCCAGTTCAGTGGCAGATGAAAAATAATGCAGAAAATTGAGTTCAGAAAATTCAATCCAAAATCCAGGGACAATTTATACGCAAGGAACACAATTTGGTCCCATTTTCCAAAATAAATAAATGTAAATGTGTTTGTACCACCATCAATCACTCACTCACACACCACATCATACTAGACAAGGTGGCGATGACTTGAACCCATTTGCCTCCAGGGAAATATTTGATGTCCTCTTTCAACTTTAACACCAATTGTTCATCTAGATACTTACATTCCATCTCCAGCTGTAAATCTTAAAATAGTTCAACTGGGGCATGATCATTAGAAGCTATGACTATTATTGTACAATTCTCTGCAAAATTGACACTTGAGTTGCAAAGTATATTCCCAAGTTTCCAAATATCCTACTTCTGCCTATATATTCATTAGATATATTATTAAGATCCCATCCTAGCTATACATGGCCCTCTACCCACTATTTTTTTCCCCTACTGGATCAACTTAGTAATACTGTGCTAACATTGTGGGTAAAGTTAGGGTCATCTTTATTTGGCACATATACAATTAAATGCCATACTTGCGTTGTTGGGAAATAACTGAATGCATGTGTACGTACATATTCAGAAAATACACACTTTCACTAACCGTATTCCACTACAGCTACTCTTTCATTTGGTAGCATTCAGAATACAGTTTTCCTAAAATCTTCTCAAATCTATGGGATGCATTGCAGTACTTGATCATACAATTTTTCAAATTGCACTGTAATGAGAAAAATAGAATGCACAGCTATTGTTGTGAGTGCATGTCTGATTTTAACTTCTCCATTAGTGATAGGAAATGCATAAACAAACAATGAAACAGAAATAAAGCTGTTTTTATTTCTGTTATATGTGTGCCATTATGCTATAATTTAAATGTGATCCAGTGTTAAAGTTTTCTATGTATTCAGAATACAGTATTCTGATTGGACCGTTTAACAGAATATGTTACAAAATACATTTTAATGCAGGTATTGAGTATTCTGTTCCTAAACACATTTTCAAAGTATTCTTCCCATTGCTGCATATTTGATATATTAAACTAATGATCAGCATAACTGAAAGAATGTGCTGCATTAGGACAACAGATCTGTTTTTTTTTTCTTTTTTTCAATAGTTCTGTTTTTTTCTTCAGTGTCTGTCCACAGACACGCTGGCTGTGTTTCAGATCACTGAACAGGCCCACCTGAATGAGCAGCATTTACAGGAGCTATGCCCCACAATGCTTCAGCAGCTGGGAGCAGGCTCCTGTAGGGGTCTCAGTGAGGAGGGGCCCAGCGCCGAGAACTCCCCCAGGCCCACTGATGCAGAGGGTAAGCCCACACTCTTGTCCTTATCCAGTGACGTGAATATGGACCCTGTAACAACATGTTTATGTGAAATGTACAGAAACTCTCTGCAATTAGTGGTTTTCAGATTCATATTCCCAGATGGAGGGGAAGATGGTGTAAATTCACAAATATTGAACCTGAGCATTTCTATAAGTGGACACTAGAATTTCCAATTTTCATATAAAAATAATATATATTGACAAATTTTTGGTTTTCTCCCCATGATCAGTCTATACAATTTAACGTCACCCAAACCCGCAATAAGGGGTGCAGACTAAAAAGTCAAAGAAAAAATATAACACTGATCCACCTATTAAAAAGATCAAAAATATAATTTATTTTTATTACAAAATTAATTGTGGAAAATCTCTAAAATACTAGAGTCCTTTTGGAGGCATGAGCAGTCTGAAATGCTGGGTTTTGCTATGGACTGGCTGATGCCTCCTGTAGTCTGACGTGCTCACTTTGTCCACAGTGTGGGGCTATGCTTTCCTGAGTGTGACAGTGGTCAGCTTGTTCTCTCTCACTGGAGTGTGCCTGGCCCCGCTCATGAAGACACGCTACATGCATGTTGTGCTAACCTTTTCCATCGCTCTTGCCATTGGCACATTGTTCTCCACTGCCGTGCTGCAGCTGCTGCCTGAGGTTTGAACTGTCCACACACCTCACTCACCCCCAGGAGAGTCAGAGTCTCCTCTGTGCTGGCCTTTCAGCACTACGCGCTCCTCATAGGTCCAATCAAGTGATGCTTCTGGTGGTGGAGTCTTCTGAATCTAACTGTTATTTTTTACAGTTCTGTGTTCTACAAATCCTATGTGCCATTTGATCCACAGCCCAGTCAAGTTTTTCATTGCTAATTTTTCCCATTAAAGTTACCAACCATTAAAGCCCCTGTAGTATTCTCACTTTTCACAATTAGATGTTATCTATATTACTATCTGATAGACTGCCAGCTGTGGCCTGAGAGAACAGAGTCACAGAGCATAGATGAGCCTGAACAAAGGCCAGGTATGGGGAGATGGGAGGGGACATGAGGGGTCATCTACTGTTGAAAAAATCAAATACACTTACAGATGGCCACCTGACCCCACAGTCCAATCGTCTCTAATAAGACTCCTTACCTTTATAAATATAACATCTTAATGCGTTGTTAATTTTATTTATATATATTAGAGCTGGGCAAAAAAAAATTTTTTTAATCGCGATTAATCGCATGAGTTCGAGCGATTAATCATGATTAATCGCATGTTATACGCAAAACCAATGAATGAATTAAAAAGTAGAGTATAGCGCTCTTTTATTGGAAATGTAAATGAAAGAGCCAAACATTTGTTGTGCAAACTGTATTTCTTTCACGGGAATCCTCAGAGCCTTCAAGGTATTCAGGGAAGGCTCAAGAAAAAATATTGAATGGACGTTTGTACTACTAATATATTTGTTGAATATTTTTTATGCTGTGAGTAATGAACACTGCACTAGTAATAATTTCTAGATCAGTGTTATAAACTTGAACTGATATTTCTTAGGAAACAAAGGGTTAATATAATGGAATGGAAATGGACCAATCACATTTTTTCTTCCAATGGTATCTGGGTAAATCAGTTACTCCAGCACCGAACTAAAGAAATAAACTCAGCTCAGAGCGCACGGCTGGTCCCGAACCCGCGGCCGGGGCCGGAGGCCGGAGCCCGCGGCCGGGGCCGGAGCCCGCGGCCGGGCCGGAGGCCGCGGGGCCGGAGCCCGCGGCCGGGGCCGGAGCCGGAGCCTCGCAGAGGCTCGGGCACGTTGCATCTCACGTGTAAATAAAAAGTGTAAAGAAAAGACGTCAAACTTAAAGAAACGCTCGCGGTGGACTTTTTCAAAATAAAAGCCAGTGAGAAACAGACGTTTACAATAAAATAAATAAAAAATAAAAACTGCGTTAACGGCGTTAAAATAATTGTCGGCGTTAATGACTTAATTAGTTAACGCAAAGTTAACGCGCCCGGTGTTCCGGATTGTCTGGCGATCAGTTTAACTGGTAAAGGAAGCATGGGGGGCGTGTCCTCTCGCTTCCATTCACTCCCATAGAGACACAAAACTGCCAGAGCTGTATTGTCGCGTTAAACCTTCTTTATCGTGGCGTATTATTTCCCCATTGAAAAATAATCCAAATGTATCCCGCACATGTTCCCATCAAGACCTGGTTTGAAATAACAAAAGTTGCTCTTTACTGCAGCGCATGAACGCGCTCAACCACTTGATTTGTTCGCTGCTCCAGACGCTCCTATAACAGGTGCCATATCGCTATGTCGTGTAACAAATAAATATGGTCAAACACAAAATGCTGTCCGTGTCTTCACTGTCACGAATGTAGTGTTTGTGTAGACATGTACAGGCTTATATAATGTGTATAATGATCTAGTTCACACAGTTTGCTACCAAAATAGGGACTGACTCATTGGATCATTTTGACACAATCACCCAGAGTGAAATATTACACAACATCTTGCTGTGAACACAACAGGTAGACTACACATCTCATGCTTCCAGATCCAGACGTGTTGGGCGTGTCCACTCAGCTGTAGATGCGGTGGGCGTGCACCTTAACCACTTGATCTGGTTGTCGCTGCGCTGCTGCTGCTGTAGACGCTCCATGTCAACAACTAATATTATGGTTCTTGTGCTCTCTTTCAAGTCGCAAACCTGCCGATAAAAATACTCAAAGATAAACTGTTGCCAGTCCTGTTACTCTCAGGGGTCTGCGTGTGTAGAGATAGGCCTATATTATATGTACATGTATGCAATGTGACATTTCACACAATTTGCTGCCTTAATATGGGTCTAAACTAGGATCAAACCAGATATAAAACATCTGACTGTAGACTACAGGTAGACTACATCTTTTGCATCCAGATCCAGATGTGGTGGGCGTGTCCACTCGGCTGCAGATGTGGTGGGCGTGCCTTAACCACTTGGTCTGGTTGTTGCTGCGCTGCGGCTGCATGCAAGCCTTTTGGACTGGAGGCTTTTTGTAGTCACTGAAGTTTATATGTTCAT